TAAGCTCTGTATGAGTCACGTTAAAATTTTTATTTTCATCCTTATATTTATTTTCAATAACATATTTTTCAATAAAATAATATTTTTCATCACATCAATAATTTTTCATTCTTTTTCAATCACACATTCTCTATGAATTTATTATTTCAAAATACATTTTTCGAAAATAATGTGACATAACCGCACCCTAAGAGCTTGTTTGGGAGAGATTAAAATTGGATTAAAATTAAAAAACTAGCTGTTATTGTTGATTTTTATTAAACGAATGAGATCTAATAATGACTATATTTTCAATTTTAATTGGATTAAAATCTCCGAGTTTATTCGGGATTTAATCACTTCATTCTACTTTTCATATCAAATTATGAATTATTATAAAGACGTAGCAACAGAGAGAAGGATAGAAAATGAATGGACAGAAATTTGGATAATATAATCCTCGGTACAGACTGTACCACCACCACCAACCGCCGCCCTCCTCCGCTCATAAAAGCTTAGGCTAATGTCACTTTCATGCAGCCTGCATAAAATTTACTAAAAAAAACAAAACAATTAGAACCAAAACAACTGTCCATTGAAAATTCAGCCAATTCATCAATCAAACACACACAAAAACCACACACTTTTTCCACTTCTTCTTCCTTGGACGCGGATTTAGAAATACATAGTTTTTTATGCCCATAAAAACACGCGCACACACGGAGATAGAGAAAAATAGATCTTCCTTTAGTACCATAAATTAAACACAGCCCATCTTGAAATTCTTGATTTCTATTTCATGTTTGCAGTAGACATCCATTAATTTTTTTTTTTCCGTGGAAATTGATTATACATAATAATCTTTCTTCTGTAAAAAATGGCTTCTGCGGCAATATTTTCGTTGCCGAGGAGAAGGAGATCGCCGTCACTGGAGACCTTTTTGGCGCCGGTGGATCTATCAAGCGAGGCCCTTTTGGATACTCTATGTGCTGTTTCTAGGGAGTTGGTGTCATCGTTTACGGTCAACAACAGAATGGTGCCGTTTTTCCAGTGCAAGAATTCCAAATCCTTAATCAGGAAAATCCAGGTGTTTTCTGTCCTTCTGGATTCTTTTTGTGAAGTGGGGTTATCAAGAATGCCTTCAAGGGTGTTTTTATGCTTCAAGGAGTTGTATCTTGTGCTTTACAGATCGAAAATTTTGCTTGATTATGTTAAAGGGTCGAGCAAGTTGTGGCTTCTGCTTCAAAACCATTCGATTTCGGGTCATTTCCATGATCTAAATCAGGAAATCTTGACACTTTTGGATGTTTTTCCTTTAAGTGAAATTTATATATCTCAAGATGTTAAAGAACAGGTAGAATTGTTAAGGAAACAATCAAGAAAATCGAAATTGTTAATTGATAAGAACGATGATATATTGAGGATGAAGTTTTATAATTTCTTGAATGAACTTGAGAATGGAAAGATTCCTGATCAGAATGAACTGTATTTGTTTTTTGTGGAAAAATTGGCCATTCGTGATGTGAAAAGTATTAGATTTGAGATTGAATTCTTGGAGGAGCAGATTGTGAATTGTGAAGGGGATATTGAGCCCACGGCCTCAGTACTGAATGGATTTGTGGCTTTAACGCGATACTGTAGGTTCTTACTATTCAGATTTGAGAATGAGGAGGGTGAATTGGGAAAGTGGAGGCATAAGAAGACGAAGAAAGGACTGATTACCCAGGAGATTGCAAATACGTTTATTACGATTCCCAGTGATTTCTGCTGCCCAATATCATGGGATTTTATGAGGGATCCAGTGATAGTATCAACAGGGCAGACCTATGATCGGCTCTCAATATTAAGGTGGATGGAGGAAGGGCACAGTACTTGTCCGAAGACGGGGCAGATGCTTGTTCATACTCAGTTAGTGCCAAATCGAGCTCTGAGAAATGTGATCATGCAGTGGTGTCTTGCTAATGGGATTCCATATGATCTGCCAGAGAATGTGGATTCTTCTGAGAGTTACAATGCTGCTTCGCCGAGCAAGGCAGCAATACAAGCTACTAAAGCCACAGCAGATCTTCTCGTTGAACAGCTAGCAAACGGGACAGCAAAGGCAAAGACTGTGGCTGCCAGAGAGATAAGATTGTTATCAAAATCAGGAAGAGAAAATCGAGCTTGCATTGCCGAGGCTGGTGCAATACCCCTTCTGAAAATGCTACTTTCATCTTCGGGTGCCTTTGCACAAGAGAATTCTGTGACTGCGATGCTGAACTTATCCATTTATGATAAAAACAAATCCCGAATCATGGACATAGAAGGGTGTTTAGGATCAATAGTTGAAGTTTTGAGATCAGGACACACGACTGAGGCCAGGGAAAATGCTGCAGCTACATTGTTCAGTCTCTCTGCTGTTCATGACTACAAGAAACAAATAGCAGAAGAAGATGGGGCAGTCGAAGCATTAGCAGGGCTGTTGATAGAGGGTACACCAAGAGGAAAAAAGGATGCAGTGACAGCTCTATTTAATCTATCCACTCATACTGAGAATTGTGTGAGAATGATAGAGTCCGGAGCTATGACAGCATTAGTGGAGGCGCTGGGATGTGAAGGTGTCTCTGAAGAAGCAGCTGGTGCGTTGGCCCTGATTGTCCGGCAACCAGTTGGAGCAGAAGCAGTTGGAAATGAGGAAATGGCAGTGGCCAGGCTGATTGGAATGATGCGATGTGGCACTCCAAGGGGAAAAGAAAATGCAGTGGCTGCGCTGCTTGAATTATGCAGAAGTGGTGGGTCAGTGGCAACGGAGAGGGTTCTAAAGGCACCTGCATTGGCCGATTTACTTCAGAGTTTGTTCTTTACAGGGACAAAACGAGCCAGGAGAAAAGCAGCGTCACTTGCTCGAGTTTTCCAGAGGTGTGAGTACGCACCATTGCATTTTGGTGGAATGGGTATAGGGTATGCATTTGCTGGAAACTCGACTTCAGTTAGGGATTCGGGTTTTGCTGGCGATGTCGCAGTATCTATTTCGGTGCCTGTGTTATAGTGGTAACGTGCACAGTTGTGTTCTTGTTTACCCATTCAACATTTTTTAAATATCCAATATATGCAAAAAATTTCTTTCAAATATACGAGAGGAAGGGGTTACTGAAAAATCACAATTTAGTTGTTCAGAGCCAGTTCTTTGCCTTGTTCTATTTTTCTATATAGTTTGATTACTGATCCATGAAGAAACTGAGGGACATCTCAGATTGCAACTCGACTAGAATGACCATATAATGTGATAAATTGCCCATATAACCTGGATTGTCAATGAAAATCTTCACTTTTGGGCGAAGGCTCAGTCAAGCACTGAATTATTTTGATTATGTGAACTAAGTACTCTATCAATTCTAAGAAAGTAAATTGAAATTGTGTAGCAAGCTTTGGAGAAAATCCAAAGAGGTGGAAGCATAAGGATTCGGACTCCTTCATTATATTCCACTTTAAGTCTCAAATTCCCGTTCTTGACCATTAATAGATTTGTGAACAGAGGAAAGATGGGAAAATATTCTCTTCTTATTATATCTCTTGAAAACAGACGACACACACACACACA